CATAACACCGGCGATCGCCCCACTTTTTGTTCACGGTATCAAAGATTAATGGAGAAAAGAGACGAGAACCGTGCCGAATCCGTGATTAATCGACCGTTGCTTCATTATATCGCTCACGTGTACGGGGGAACTCGTGTTTGTCCTTATTCTTTTTTCCACCGCAATTAATTGAGATCAGCGATGATATTCAGAAAGGTGCGATATTGCGGAGATTTACGATCGTACTACATTTTTTGCTGCATCGGTAACTCCCCCCCGTGAGACGCGAGGGATAATTGTGCCGTGTATCGCGATCCGTGGGAGTAGAGTGTGATCCCGGTGTCGTGAATTGAATAAATATCGCGACGCGGATCCGACGAAAAACATGCACGAACGAACGCGCAAACAGTGCGTGACGATGTGTTACTTAAGTCACCGCGGGACACTGACAAATTCCCGAGCGCGGAGCGTTATTTGGATCGTTACATGCTAACTGCGCGCTGGTCCGAAGCATTAAGGGATGAAACGTAAACGACGAGATAGGGCCGAGGGAATAGGAAGCGGTCAGGGAGACACAGAGACAGAGAAAGACGAGATCAGGCGAATGGACACGAGACTGTGTTACTGCCGAGGCAATGTTAACTTTGCTTTCTAGCTCTTCGAAGCGACACGACGCGTCCACCAGGTGGTTCATCAGTCGGGTCTTGCGGCGAATGTGGGGTTCGCTTCCATCCTCCTCGGCCCTTCAATTTCTACGTACTTCCCCTCCTCTCCACTCCCACGGAGGAGACCATCAACGTTCCCGTGCCGTGCCGCAAAAGCTGGCCGGCCACCCGCGACAAGGTCGACCTTTACTCGTTTGACCGAAGAGAAGCCAGATCCGCTTACGCCGCTACGAATTTGAGATTCCGTAAATCCACCAAAACTTCGACCTATGTCGTGCCGGCTTTCCACTTATCTACCGGCAGGACGAGAAAGGAGGGGACGAGAGAGAGAGATACGGGGAGGAGTGCGGGATTCGTGGGATAGAGGTGGCCAGACTATACCGTTTCCGGTACGATGAACAGAAATGCCGGCGTAATGCGAAAGGGAATCCGTGTAGATGCCACTTGCCACGGTGCACACGTGTGCACACACGAGGTGGACACGTGTGTATACCCATGTGCACGTACACACGCGCATGCACGGCACCCACCTCTCTGACGAAATGTTTGAGAGATATCAAAACCGCACGTCCGCTGGCCGAACCGGCCCTGAACCGGCAACCCAGATATGACGGTTGCATGGCACTTCTATAATTAATTGCCGCATGGACCTAGCGCTCCGCAGCTGATTTATGCGGGAGCGATGTTTATCCTGCCCACCGGCTATATGTAATCTCAATAATAATCGTGTCATTATTACACAAAAGAAGAAAAACACTGGGCGCTGATCTCGTCGCGAATTCGAGCGAATCGTGAGGAATTTTCGGTTCATCTATCTTCCGCGAAGGTAAAGCCGCCGCGCGACAGTCGCGATACGATAAATCGCCACCTCTGCGTTAAATTCCAGAAATAATCGTAGGTACGTTTCCTACGCTATTATTTCCAGCCGGCTCCATTGAATAAACCACAAAGCGAGATAATTTTCGGATCTATCGTCTCGGCTCGGTCTCCGCGGCCCTCTGCTATTACTCGATAAATCTTTATTTATTGACCGCAAAACTCGTTGGCCAAAATTAGACCGCAGGGATATTAATCATTAAAATTAAACCCCCTTCGTCGAGCCCCGGGACGAAACATTTTTCTACGTCGCAAATATGCAGTGTACTACGAGGTCGGTATCGAGACGCGAGATCTAATCAATCTATTGCCTAAATTGCGTTCCACGGAAATCCTACGTTTTTTCGGATAAAATGTCGAGAAACTAAGTAAATAACGAATGCAAAAAAAGAAAAGGAGAGACTCCACTCCCCGGAATACCCTTCCTGTATAAAAATTCTATCTCATTTTTGTCTACGTTTTCGACCCGTCTTCGGATCTCATTCTCAACGTGGGTAATTAATGGCATCGGCGATCAAAAGCGCTCAATCAAAAGCGAACAGATCCGGCCCGAGTGAGTTAAATAAAGATGCAGCTGATACGTCAGCCGCGATAACGTCGGTTTAAAATACCGAGGCGGCGGTGCGGGGGCGAGTCTGACAAGTCGGACGGAGTTCCATCGGCGGGCGATCTAATTGCCGACGAAAATGATGGAAACGGGCGCTCACGGGCGGGTAAACGGGATATGAAGGGAGGAAGAGAGGAACTGCACACTATCTCGTTCTCCTCGCCTTTCGCGAGGCCCCCGTGTACACTTGATTCAACAAAGCAAATCAGACTTCGACACGCGAAGTCGGTATGAGGGATCACGCGAGGTCGCCTTACTTCCTCCCCTCCGGGCCGGCCAATCTTTTCTGGCTGGCTTCTTAGCCTTGCCCATGCTACTCCTGTGGAATTAGTGTCAAGCTAATTTCGTGGCTGAATTTAGAAGTTTCCTTTGATCGTGTGTCTCGATGCTACCCGTTCCACGATTTCACGATCGCTCGAAACCACCCCCTCGACCCTGCGGTTTGGCGGCACCACGCCGCTTCCATGAAAAAGTAATTGCTCCGTATTACAGGAGCGCATTACGAAAGTTGCCGCGCGGAGTAATTTTTTTCGCGTTCCTTATTTTTGCGCGCTCGCAGGGGGGGCGGCGGAAAGCACCCCGCCGCGCTCATGCGATCGCCGGGCGTTGTAGCGCTCATACCAATTTAACCCCGGCGTGGCGGACCGATTGGAACCTCTGTGTAACGAACGGGATCACGAATGCGGATTTACGAGCATTCAGCGAGTGGAAACAGCGAAGTATGTTATTCGTTTGTTGCATCGTTCGACTATTATGCACAGCCGTGCGCGAAATAATTGGCAAACGCGCCCGCAAAATCCACTGTTATTATATATCGAATGCTTAAAAAAAAAATGAAAAACTAAAAACGTAATCTTCTTTAACCAAAGATTCATCCGAAGTCAAAAATACGGCGCAAGTTTTAACGATCCCAGAAGCTGTTTTCTCAGTGTGTACTTCGCGTTCCGAGCCCTACATTTTCGCTTACGATTGAGTTATATTCTAATTGCCGAATCATTAAGATAATATAACTCGAGACTAACAAGGATCAGGATTCGGTCAGATGTAGACGGAATATAACTACTGAAGATCCGGCGCTGTAACAACACCGGAGACTATGGAAACTTTTAAACGCTGCTGGGCACGTGTTAAACTAGGTTTCCACGCCTGAAATTAGCATTTTGACGACCCTTTTAAGAGCCTGAAACGCGATCGAACTGGGACCTATAAGCTTTGAGGTACGAAAAAATAACTGTGCAGTTAAATATGTCATTTTTATCCGCGGAGAAACACGCGGAATAACCGTAAGAAAAATACATGTTCAAAGACATTTGCCACTAAATCGAAGCTTGAGATACACTGACTTCTGGTGAGCAATCATTTGTATAACCATTGCTTCATTATAAAATTGTTTTCCAATGAAGCATAAATGTAAATCCATTTTAAACGATTTATAATTCTGAACAGAAATCAGAATGAAATTCTATAATTTCCCTTCGTACAAATAATAAATATAATTTTATAAAAACGATAAATGTGTAACATGATATTATTATGAATTGGAAGGCAAATTTTGTTGCATCCTGCCACACTGTATATATTATCAGATTACAATTAATACGTGAAAGCGCTTTATATGTAGCGTATGCTTCATCAATACTCACCGACTTCTCCTTCGGTGCATCGAAAACGTAGAATGCGGCAATGTGAACTCCGAACTGCTAGAACCTGGTGAACGACGCGACGTCCCGCTCGGCTCTCCTGCTAGACCGTTCCGCGACATTCCGCGGATATGCACTTTTCGCTCTTATAATCTAACGATACTTTGTCACGACTGATTATGAAACCGATTTTCGGCATACGCGACGGTAATTCGCGCGCGAGACTTGCTTTCGTCGTGCCGGAAACGTAAATGACTGCGATTCGAGCCACCATTAATGCGATTAACACGCAATTCTCTCTGTTCGGCATTCCTGACGTGCCATTTCGCGAGATATTTACTTGCCGCTTCTATAATTTAACGATACTTTGTCACGACGAATGACTATGAAACTGATTTTCGTCATTCATTGCGATAATTCGCGCGCGAGACTCGCCTCCGGCAATCTGGAAACGTGAAGGGACACGATTTGAAGCTTACACCGCCATTAGTATAACCGTCGCGCAATAGCTCGTTCGGCATTCCCGACAGTTTGGCGAGATATTTCGCTTTGAGCGGCTACCCGACGCTATTTCTCCATAACGACACGCATGAGACTAATTTTCGGCACTCTCACGTGATGATTCGAGTGCGAGACTCACCTTCGGCTATGCCGAAATCGCAAGAAATACGGAGAGCTCTCCCGAACACGTACTCTCGCGTTGCGGTTCATTTTGAAAAGGCTGAACGTTGCAACGATTGAGAAACTCGAAGTGTATCGATATAACGCTTTAATCGATATGGCCGACCCATTCTCTGCGCGAATTCACTTTAGAGGTTTATTTACCGGTGTCTTACCACGACAAACGTGAGTAATTTACTTTTGATGATAATTCGTGCGCAAAATTCGTGCCAAAATTGTAAACGGCCGCAAAGTTAACCTCAAATTAATCGCCGTTAGTACTCTATTCGACAGTCTATGTCGACGGATTGTTTCGCAATGTATTTAGACCTTCGATGTCTATTTAACGCTATCTCCGCTTAACGCGTCACACAAACCTTATTCACAGCATTCTGGGCGAATGATTCACGTAGAAAACTCACCTTTCGCAAGTCGGAATCGTGACAAGTGCGAAACGGTTCTTCAAATCTGCTGCCGCAGCGCAACCTATAAACAGTCTGTCTTTACCGACTGCGCTGAACCGCACTTGAGGTTACGAAAGGTAAAAGTAGATGGCACTCGATAAAGGTGAACTGTAGAGGTCTCGTAGTTGCCAAGCGTTCGCAGAAAGGAACGCACGAATTTACGTGTCGTTCGTTAAAATAATGTAGAGTTTTGACAGATAATCGACGTCGAGTATCTCCGTGCGTTAATCTATACATTCTGTGAAGTGAGAGGTAAGCGCTCGCCATTTCTCCCGCACTTAAATCGTATCCGGCCAAGTAACGGCGTTACGTCGGCATCGCCCAGATTCGATCGAGTGCAATGAGTTCATCGTTCAATGTCTCGCCGCACTTGAATACCAATTAATCTCGTCTGAGCCACCGTCCTCATGGATACCTCGAGCGATCACAATTAAGCGGTGAAAAAACGGGGCGGTTTTTCTTTTCACGTAAAGATTCGACGCGTCGCCGACAATTCGGCCAAAGTTGACGTCATTGCTGGGAAATCAATAACTGCATCTGGACTCATTTGCGTTACAGTTCCCTTCGCGAGTTACAGTGTAAATGTACTGACATTTTTCTGAGATGTGATCAATTGCGTCACGAAGAATCAGCTTCATGAATGATTGAAGCAGATATACAATTAGAAAGATCATATCGTCTAGGTACTATTCCCTGGAGGACAAGATGATGTCTGATCGGAAAGCTGAATTGGAGAGGAAGAAGGCGAAGTTGCAAGCTATCAGGGAAGAAAAGGAAAGGCGCAGGAGGGAGAAGGAACAGAAAGATGTAAGATGAATATTTATAAAAGAAATACTGCTTAATTCATGTATACTATTATTACAATAATTAAATATATTGTTTCTGGATTATAGGTAGAAGAAGCAACTGTTCGTGCTGCTGGCACAGACAAAGACCAACGCAAGGAAATAGATGCAATGCTATCTTCCTTGGGTGTAGCACCAGTGTCAGGTATAAACTATATATCTGATCATGTTATATTTTTCAGTATTATATTCTAACTATGTATGATTTTCAGATGTACTGTCCAGTTTGTCCAGTATGAACTCGTTAACACCTGAACAAAGTGCCAATGCCACACCAGATGCCAGTTTACAACCGTCTAGCATAAATTCTGCTCAAAGGTATTTATATAATTTACTCGTTTATGATTATAACAAATACATATGCATAAGACTAATTTTAATCTTTGTATTGTGACATAAAGCAGCGCAGGACGAAGGAAGAACCGGGAGCTCACGATCGTTTCTGTGGCGCATACAAACATTCCACCGAAAGAACCAGTCGTATACAGCAAGCAAACGCAAACCATCCAAACGACACATACATCCCACGACGGTGAGTCAATATATTTCCCTTATATTACTTATCTCTACCGCACATATGTGTTACATCTCACTCGTGATCTCGTAAAAAATCGTTTAGATATTAGACGACACGTGTTTCTTGGTATTCAGCTCACGATGTTTTAAAGATATATACAACATTGATGGAATTGAGACGTGATTCAGTTTTTTGTTTTAAAGACTCTTGAAAATGAACTAATTTATTTTGCAAGATGTGTATTAAATATTATTCCTACATGGTATAATTGTGTTGGCAATTTCTTGCTACTTTACTATGCTAGATAATTCCATTGATTACCAGTGTGGTATTCACTTTAATATAAGTTCACAAGTTTATAGTGCGTTCACAGTGCGTGTTTTAAAATCACTGGAATATCATCAACCTACACATATACCATAGTTTTCGCATCAACGAATTTCCATTCATGATCGAGTATGGTAAAGTGGGTGGTGTATAAAGTACACTACGTTATCGTACATATTTTTAATTGCAACTCTGCGTTTATTAGTTTATAACTCTGTGTACTAAAATTTTAACAATATTCTTTTGTTCATTAACTGCCAATTAAATGAAATAATGAAATAAGTTATAATACCATTAATCATACGAGCGCGAGTTTTCTCAATTTTTCATTTCTCTTGAGTGAAGGTAACATCATGTAAGATTGAGTTAACCTTCTAAATTATTTCCTATCAATAATTTCTAAAGAAAGTGGCGAGGAAACTTACATATTCTCGAAATGTGTACATACTTATGAGGCAAAGGAACTTAAATAACCCGTTACAGTGCACTTATTATCTTAAATTTTCTCCTCATATCATCTGTGAGGGATTAATATTTTTCAACACTTTTATATGATTTCTATATTTTATTACTTAAGATATATTCCGCATTAAAAAAAATAACACATTGAGTATTTCTCTTATTGTGAGCCTTAGATTATATGTGTGACAAAATGTATCAGATCAAATAATAACAAGTAGTAACGCGTCTAACAAGTAATCTGGGTTTGGTTTAAATTATAATTTTTTCGGTGGTGGCGATATTCCTTCATGTATCGTTTTCATTTCCATGACACACAACCGCAAATTCAGTTAGTTCTTAAACACTTATTTTATATGTTTCAATAATCGTTAATCTCAGTCTTACGGTCATCTGACAATACGAATGACCGTGGACAGTTTATGTTGGTGTGATTAACAAACTATACCAATTTTAGAAAGTTTGTTTTTATACCACCTACTTTACTGCGATGAAACATAATTCCACATTAACTCTAATGTAAAATTCGAATTCTGATGAGAGAATCTTTCTCTTAAAGTCTTAAAATCTTTCTGTCTAATTCGTCATCTTGGAGGACGTATTAATATCGGAAATACCGTGTGAAAAATATATACACATATATATGAAGTGATTTTTCTATATATTTGCTGTGTCTAACTGATCTTGCGGTGTTATTAAACATACGCGTGTTCCCTTGTCTTGCGATACAATCTGATCGATTCATCCGGTGTTGGACATAAGGACTGTCCACATCGTCCTCCGCATACACCATCTACTCCTCCTGTTCAACAACAACACCAACTCACTCTTGCTCCGCAGGCTACTTTGAGACTGACTGGTGGCGCCCCAGGAAAGGTGGGTCTGCACCAAACTACCTATGTATGTTCTGTCTACTTTTTTACTACCCTTCCATATATATTGTTGTTACAACATTATATAATAGAGGTAGATACGAGTTGAAGTTCGCGTTTTCGAACGAAGGGATGTAGAGTCTAGCTTTGAGGGTGCTTTGCGCTGCTTAAATATTGCTCCGCAGATTTTTATGACTACACCTGACTTTTTCGTTCTTCTTCATATGTATGAAGCTATGTGAAGGCAACGAGTACAGGAGTCATGAAGATTACATACAACATCTCGCTATGATGATCTAATTATGCTGCAAATTTTGTATGTGGAAGTTTATAGTTTCTAACTATACGCTGAGAATATATATCTTAGCATTTTTTTACAAAAAGCAAGTATGTGTGTGTGTGTGTGTGTATGCGCGTCATCATAACTGTCTTTATGATAGTTTTGTAGTGTTATTTCCACATACACATGACTATATTCGCTTGCATATAAAAAAAAATGGCTTACTCACGCTTCGAAGTTCTAGTTTTAATGAAATAATCGATTGACAACAAGTTAAGATTACACAGCACATTAACTCTAGGCGTCCTGTTTGTTGGGAAAACATATGAATTGTACGATTGTAAATGAAAATTCACAAAATCATACCATGACTCATGCGTGCTGATAGAAAATTGATACTTGTGCTTACAAAATTGATAGTCAATATTTCTTCAAGACATTTCCAGACATAAAAAGCTATAATGACCTGATGACGAAAATTACATATATAAGAAACGAATATAGCTTCTTTGGTGGTATTTCTTAATGTGCTTGATAACGAATTAATTGCTGATCTAGATATATACACTTTAACAGCTATTGATAGGGATGTTCACATTGCTACTAAAATTGTCTGCTTTCTTGTGAATCGTTTTATACATTAATAAGAAAAATGATAATGAAATAAATTTCAGAGGGACTTTGGGGGTGGGGGATAAGTGTGACAAGGGATGTAAGTGAGATATTGCAGTTTATCCAATAAATGCCTTTATTTTATTAGGCATAATGAGGAATAAGAACGTTCCTCGCTATAATCGATAATTTGATGAACAGGATGATCGTTTAGTAAACGAAAGAAAGTGTTGAACAAGGAAGATAAACGTTGATTACCCTAAACATGTGGTAAACATTCTGAATATGTACGTTTCCTCTTATACATGTAGGAACCAAAGCACCGCACAATATAAGAATTTACAAAATTATACCCACCTAACTACATTCAGCCTAACAATCATTTTTGTTTCAAGATACTTTTAGTAATATTTGCAAAATACTGAGCCTTTCTTTCTTCGTTTTTTTTTTCTTTTTTATAATATCTCCACAGACAAGTTTGTACATCACAAAAAAACTTGTTTGCTTCTACAAAATATTTACACGGTGGTCGAATGCCTTTTTTTAACTGTTATAAATCTATACATTACAAGTCGTAAAACTTTTCAATTACACTTTTGTACAAATTTTTGAATTTTGACACCGATTTGTTTTCGTTCAGAACTGAATGGTCTGAGTGTAGAGAGGTGTTATTAGTGTATGCATTCTCTTATGATATCGTAACTAAGTACAATTTTTTTCCCTCCCCTTCTCAGCTCATGCGTTCGACTATTACGGTAAGTTATGATTTCTCTTGGTTCTGAAAGCGACTTTTAGGTTCAGAGTTAGGTTTAGCTTGATTTAGTTTATTGCTTAAGAGAACGATTACACTTTAAAGAGAAGGTACTATGTGAATGAGGATTATATTTTGAGAAGGATAGAGTAACGCGTTAATCAATTAGAATAAACTTCACATGCTATTCCAAATTACTCACGCCAAAACGAACGTGTCGAGGTAAGCGCAACATTGCTACTGAGTTTCCAATTTCTTCGCCAGATAGAATGTCCATCGATACTTTCGTCACACGAATCTAGTTGATACTCGCAACGTACTAGAATACATAAAGCATTTTCTCGTGCTCCTTAAGAATAGATACGCCAGTCTAGAAAACGTGTACGAGAAATATCATCTTTCGAATTTAATTTTCCATAGAAAACGTTAGTAACGCAGGAATGCAAAACAACTCTCCACCCAGAACCTAATCGGTCTTTACTGTCTTATGGATTGCTTTTGTATCTTCCGGCTCTCTTCTCTCATTATGTTTATCTATTTTTGGGTGCATTCGTTCTTATTTATTGTATCTATTATTTTTCAAATATTTGTCTGACATCCCGACTCAACAACCAAAGAAATCTGCTATTGGGCACACAACACAAATCTATCTGCATATATACCTATCTTTCGGAAAGCATGTTGAAAAATGGTTATTCTTAGCTCTTTATAAACTCGAAACGCAATTTTTGCAACATTTGCAAGCTATCTTTACGGTACATTTACATATAACTAATTGTAAAACGCAGGCATGTTGTCAAAAATTTATTTCTACATTTTCAACGATGAGAAGTTATACTTGAAAACTTTAATACGTATCAACTATTTAATAAATAGTGTTTTTGGTAATAGTTCAGATGACATCGAAGATTTGTGTCAGAATCTCCCGAGAGAAATATCCATTGGCAAATCTTGTCACAACTTAACGCACCTTCCAGAGTTCTCGGCGCGATGTGTGTGTGTCACGGTCATTATCTCTACAATCTCTTTGGGAATGCTATTACATTAACACTTACTAATATGGGAGCAGTTGTTAGAGAGCTAAGGTGTTGTGGGATATTAACTTAACATATCGCGTATGCATTATTCTCTCTCTACATACACACAGTTTTTGGTCAACTACATGCGCGTGTGTGACAAACGTGAGAATTCTATCTTACAAAGATATGTTGCTTGAGCTTCTAGTGGTGCGCAGGAACCTTTTTGCAAAACGTTCCTCGCGATCGCAGGATATTGCTTCTTAACAGCACGATGGTGGTGTAGCAACAAAATTAGTAGATGAACATAGTTGAAACGACAAACAAGGTGTATGCCAATGAACACGTCGCAGCATAGTCGTACAGCATTCTCAAAATAATATGTACACATCGCGTTTTTCTTCGTTTTTTCTTAACGCGAACGTCGACAGATTTACTTACTTTGGCTGCCAGTTGTTGACTCTTTTAAGAAATTACCATCTTAAATATCTCGGGTCGTTGATCGAAATCGAAGAGAACATATATTTTTCATTAGTAGTCGGAGATGTCAGTATGTTGTATTAAATCATTGTTTCAATTTCACGATCCCTTACTTGTCTTCGTTTTCGTTGCTGGCTTTTTTCTGAGATTTATCAACACTGAGTTTTTGCCGTTAGATTTATTTTCCGAGAATTTTTCCTACCTCGTCATGTTCCATATCAATTAGCGCGTATCTCAAAAGAGGAAATAATTTTTAAATTATATCTAACAAAAATCCCTAGAGGGAGAGATCAAAAACAAAGATCTCAGTGAATTTGTCTCCATTCGATATTTAAACGTATTTATAAAATTTGCATATTCCTAAGTAAAGAGCTAGAGAAATTGATCCCTTTAGAGCGCAATGTTTTAATAAAACATACACAACCGTTGCTAATGGGAATATTATACGCATGTAAATAGATATATCGACTCTGATTTATTAATTTAAATCGCTACTTTCAATTTTCTTAAGCAATTGTTGATGTATTTTGCATGGCAAAACAAAAGAAGTTAGTTGAATCTTCAATCATAACGAATTATTGCGAAAATTGAAAGCGACGATTGATAATTGGTTGATTGATCGATCAAATTTGTCTATCAGATTCAGACAGTTTCGCATGTATGAAAATAAAGAAAAGACTCAAGTAACTTTAGGCTTTTGTACATGTACATTATGCATCAATAATGTCTGTTGAAAGATATTTAAAAACAACCACAAACGATTCCGGCAGATGAGATATCCAATTGATTGACATTTTCTTTTCCCTCCTTCAAGACGAGTACAATCTAAATCCTGGTTTAGAATGGGAGGACGAATTTACAGGTAGGTAATCCTCTCTAAAGACGATTCACTCTGCCTAATTACCTCACGGATATGTCTGTAATTGTTACTTCACACTTTCACGACGTTGCGTCTAAAAGTAATTCTCTCACATAACTTTCTTGTTGTAATTTATCGTCTTTGCCTCATATGCACTGAAAGGAGGGAATTGCCGCTGGCGTTTATAAATTGCTTGATGAGTTGCTTCATTTTACGTATATGTTTTTTTATTCTTTTTAATACTTTTCCTTATTACATTCATTTATTATTATTCTACGAAATAAATCTGCTTTACGTATCGCGCATGCAGAAGTTGAAAAGTTGTTTATAGCATTGTTTTGTTATTTTCTTTTTGATGCGATGAATTTTAACCGTAAACAAGACGTCTAATCATTTATGTTACGACATTTAAGATTTGACACTTCACAGTCAAGTTTCAGTTATTATATATTTACTGGTTCTCTTTATTATTTTGAGAATTGGAGCAACAGATTTACAGATTTTGTTTGTTGCAACTGTCGTAGTTGTTATAAATTCGTACGGTACTGCATGAGACTTGGGAAGTTGCGTTAAATCTCCACTCTATGCGCACTCGTTTTTACCGTTTTGTTATTTAAAGGAAACCACTTGGTCTTGGTCACAGCTGTGAACCCACTTCTTTCCGACTTCAATGACGTTCATTAATTCCTCTTACAATGTTTTATTTAATTATTATAATCATATTTACGCGGTGTTATTAACGATGTAAGAGAGAGATGGTGAAAGTCATTTCATATAACATATATCCTAAACGTAACTCCTCTTACAATAACTATATAATATTGATGACAAATATTGGTAAAGGGAAAATCGATAATCTCTCATTACTTGTAACACAATCACGTTTGTCTTTTCTACATTTCGCATTTTCCACACGTTCCACTTCATCGATGCATGTCAATAGAGGGTGGAGAGACACGATTGTAAAAATAATATCGAGTTATATCGAGATATAAGACATGTAAAAAACTGATATTTATTTACGATAGTCCACCAACAAGCAGTCCACCTTTCGTGTTCATATCTAATTTTGCATGTTATCTAGGCTCACACTCGTAATTCTGATAATCTAATTTTAATTTTTACATATGCGACGTTTCTTTTAGAGCATGACTTATTCTTCGATACGGCATTTTACCAATGCTTCTAGACGTTGTGTTCTCTTGAGATAAAGTTTCTTTAAATATTCAGCTAAATTATTCTTTTATTGAAAGAAACGAAAGTAAACCTTTTTTCGCATTACGCTGGCATGTAAATTTTGGCACTCGATGTGTACACACAGAAGAATGAAGATGTTGCAGAGATGAATGTGAGGATTTTCACAAAATGCACAGTGTAATTTTGCTCTTATTAGTGTGTATACACAAGGTAATAAATTATTGCACTGTGTATCTTTTAAAGCGTCTCGAGAGTAATACTTATTTCAAAACAATTAGTCTATTTCTTATCATTTTATTTTCTTTTTTTTTTATTTTTTTTTTTTTGTAAAAACGCAGTACCTGGGCGAGAAAAGAATTCAATAAGTTCGTTAGAGTTGTTAGTCGAACATGGATAGAGAGATAGATAGACAAGTAGAGCTAGGTAGTTACAACCAAGTTAGGGTACTTGTGGCGGAACCAGCTTATTCACCACAGTTTTGACATTTGATGATGGCCAAGCCGAAGATGAAGAAAATAGCTTGCCGCACATGGACGGTTTCCAAAGCAAGCTTCCTCCGGGAATCCTTCCTCATGGGTTACCGCAAGTTAAAGAAGTCCAGCCCGCTGTCACACAGGTAGAACAAGAGAAAGAGAAGGAAAAACCCAAGAAAGAAGGTATGTAGATCATTGTTCCCTCGCATGGGACCCTGTCGCCACTGAGAAATGCTGATTTTTGTCAATTTCTCGAAGTACGCGAGCTCAGCGAGGAGGAGAAACAGATGATCATTCTGTCGGAGGACTTCCAGCGGTTCCTCGATCGCACCAGCAGGATCGTGGAGCGAGCACTGGGCGAATCGGTCGATATTTACACCGATTACACTGGTACTATGGACGGGGAGGATGGAATGTAAGTGCGACTTAGATCTTCCAAATCAGTCCGCGAGATACTAGATGAATTTAGCAAGTCGATGTAAACGATTGCCTGAAATTTTAATAGACTTGATTATTTGCAGGGACGAGAAGAGTCACCAACGGCTCTGGCTAAATCGCTCGTTCATCTGCGAACGGTGGTCGCGTAATCGTTGTGTGACTTCCATGGACTGGTCGCCGCAGTTCCCCGAGCTTTTAGCGGCCTCGTACAACAACAACGACGACACGCCGAACGATCCCGACGGAGTGTGCCTAATCTGGAACACGAAATTCAAGAAAACAACTCCGGAGTTTATCTTTCACTGTCAGTCGCCGGTTATGTCCACCACGTTCGCCAGATTCCATCCGAATTTGATTCTGGGCGGCACCTACTCAGGCCAGATTGTACTTTGGGACAACCGGGTGCAGAAGAGAACTCCCATACAACGCACTCCCTTATCCGCTAGCGCGCACACCGTAAGTGACGTACCTTTTGCTGATGTGTATGATATGATTAGATGATTAAGCCTGATAAAATTAGAGAGATAGGAGAGAGAGAGGAAATCGTAACTTGTGTCCTACAGCATCCAGTATACTGTTTGAGCGTCGTCGGTACGCAAAACGCGCACAATCTGATCAGTATTTCGACGGATGGAAAATTATGCTCGTGGAGCTTGGACATGCTGTCGCAGCCACAGGAAGCGTTGGAATTGCACACAAAGCAGTCGAAAGCGATCGCCGCCACGTGTTTGGCTTTCCCGCACGGTGACGTGAACAATTTCGTCATGGGCAGCGAGGACGGAACCGTTTACTCAGGTGGATACAGATAGTACTTAGTAATCTCAGCTAATTTACATGTATATATGTATTAAAAGTGACGCTTTTGCCGATAACATGATTTTGGTGAACAGCTTGTCGTCATGGTAGTCGCGCAGGATTAACTGAGACCTACGAAGGACATCAGGGACCGGTCACCGGCATCAGCGCACACGCGGTACAGGGCGGAATAGATTTCTCCCATCTGTTCTTGACGTCTTCCCTCGACTGGACGATCAAGTTGTGGAGTCTAAAGGAAAACAAGCCGTTGTATTCCTTCGAGCACAATGGCGACTACGTTTATGACGTAGCCTGGTCACCGACGCATCCGGCGCTATTCGCCGCAGTCGATGACTCAGGCAGGCTGGACCTGTGGAATCTAAATCAGGACACGGAAGTGCCCACCGCCAGCGTCGTCGTCGACGGGTGTCCGGCTCTGAATCGAGTGTCGTGGACACCGAGCGGATTACACGTCACCGTAGGTGACGATACCGGTAAAATATGGGTCTATGACGTCGCCGAGGTACGTGTAACGATCGTTTCGACGATTCGCTCGGATCTTAAATTTACATACAACGCTGTCTGATATATGAACATACTGTATTCAATATCTTTTCTCCGATATAGCATCTGGCTCATCCGAGAATCGATGAGTGGAATAAGTTCTTATATACTCAACAAGATCTGAAGAACAACAAAGCAGACGAAGAACTGGATAAATTGAACCTTAGCTCTGGACCGTCGTCATTGACATCTATGACGTCGATTTCGTCGGTTCCTTTGAGATAAAGATGAGATAAATATCATAATTGCGCTTTAATTACTCCCTAATAGTTTTCCCTTGAAATTTATCAAATTTACAGTACTCGCAATTAAGGTATTAACAGAAATTTGTTTACTGCTTCGATGACTATTACGTGTAATATCGAACAATTAATCGACAATTTTCTTAATGGCCTTTGCCATTAATAGAGACGGCTATAATGAAGAGACATTTAATGCTTTAAACATATGCATATTATTAAATGTTACATTGGTCATAATTCTATAATAGAAAACTGTATCTTTAACTGACGCAACAAGATATTAAATAGATATATAATATTGAAGTTGTGTAATCTACATGTAAATAATATTTTAATTGTATTGAAATTTTTAGAAATAATTTGTGGATAAAAATCTTATGTTTCGCAATAATTTATCGGTATCATGTAAGCATATAATAATACATTACGCAATGCAAATAGCATAAAATTCCACACTTAGGCGTTCAAAGGTAAACGTAGAAAATTATAAAAATAAATGGTCTCCGAGTATATCCTTGTTGTAATATACTCATTAAACATGTTAATATAATTACATAATCCATAACTCAAATAATTTTCTCACATTTTTGTTTTTCAATTACATTTTTCGTAATAATCGATTTAAACAAAAAGAAGCTTATTTATTAAGCACTTTGTGTTATTTCGTTTTAATTAATACAAATGTATCATTTATTGTGTATATTGTGGCAAATAAATTTTTGTAAACATACGTTTCTCTTCAATCTACAATTGGACTGTATATATTTATGCGAAAAAATTACCTGTACTACTTGTCATATTATATAAAAGTCGATGACGTCAGTCGGCCATGACGCATCGGTAGACGACATCGTGAAGTTATCAGTGTAATTTAAATACGAATGGCGTCATCTTATCGACTGATACTGGAATCGCCCTCTGACCTTGCTTAGAGTAAATTAACTCATTCTTTTTATTCGGTATTTCCACAACGATTTATAGTAACAAAATGCAGCTGACGAAACTGACCTTTGCTAAGCGCCTGCGTCAATCCGCGGACCCTGATCTGCGGTAAGCTGTCAGCGACAATTATTCGCAGTCTGTGACTGTTCGTCGAGTCGAGTGGATCGTATTCCCGTTGTGTCCGAAGCTTTCCAATTCAGTTCCCGTTCTCTTCCCATCACTTTTGAAAGAACAAAGGCGTAAGTTACGACAGACAGAGAGAAAAACATCGCAGAAATGGGCGAAAAGGCTGGTAAGTGGCAAAATAGAACCTTTCGCTTTGAACATACGAAGAACGTATTGAGGAAAATTCGGAGGTTCGATTATTTTTTTCCTTAAGATCAGAATCGTAAACGTCGATCTTCTAGAAAAACTGCCTCGATGCAATTTTCCGCACGCAAACAGCTGTTACTTCTTTGTGCATTCGTTGCTCTGATCATGATCGTGAATTACCAAATATTTGGACTCGAAATTTTTTTGAAAATGTAGAAGGAATATGTTAAAGATATGAAACTCACCAAAAGCAATCTCCCAATTTTATCTGGCGCGATAAGACGAAGATAAGAAACTTGCTATGAACACATTTGATATTTTGTTTGAGCAGAACACATTGTGATGACGCCGAAATGCAAAACGGCAAATTCGACGACGTTGATAATAGAAAGGCAAGCTCTGGAGCCTCCAGCGCAGAATGGCACTGAGAATGGCAATGTTCATATCGCAGGTGGTGATCATAAGGGAATTGTTATCAACAAACAAGCTGTTGCTGGTACATGTATTAACGTCTTAATATATATTGCAAGTTAATCAATAATATCTGGTAAATAGCAATAAAATATCAAAATTTTGCAGCGACAAACGGAGAGATACATCCTGCCCAGCTCTGCTTACAATTTAGGGTATTTTTGGTGAGCGGGCAAACTGGGAAGCACACTCAAGAACAAAGAACCTTGCAGTTCTGGTTTACTGAAGCATTGCCTGAAGCAGAACAGCCAAGCATTGCACAGGAATTCTTCAGAGAGCTTGTCACTCCTCAGGAGTTTCCTAGAGGTAAGTTGTAATACAATATGCACTGATCGATAACATAGGTGTATCTCTTGAAATCCTATCCTTACTCAGAAATATAAATATATCTACTCTAACTGGTTGACTGAGACAAGCGGTGTCTCTTTGTAAGCATGGACACCAAGATCTAATTTTAAATGCTTAAGCACAGGGGAAGAGAGCAAACTTGGGTGTGATTCCTAACACTTCTTTGTGATATTTAAAGAATATCAAACTCAGAACTTAAGAAGTCATTAATATCAAATGATTTGTTATAAATGTTTATTTACTTCATAAGATTTCAAAAAAATTTTAATGTGCTCTTTTATACACATATATAATATTAAATTATTTTTTATTAAATTTATCAAGAATTTTTTTAAATGAAACAAATAATTGTTTTTTTCTTGTTATATCTATGATATTCTAATATTAATGATTTTTTATAGATTACGTGGGATTCATAAAAAAGATCATGAAATTGATGCAACATAAGTATCCCAGTATCAAGAAGCTGGAGGTGGAACTAAGACAGCTGGAAGAGCCAATCACACTCCCAACTAGGCCATGTAAGTTAATCATTACTTCCTCTTTCTTAATGTATTCTATGAACATATCTGCATATATTGTATATTAGATTTAGTCACTACAATCCCTACGTACATTCTCATTTTTAAATGTATAATCTTGCTTCGACTTAATAAAAAGAAATCTATACACGGGGGAAGAAGTTAAATGATTAGGCTGATTGTGCTTAATGGTTCCTCATTGGAGCGACGTGTCTCACAAGTATACATTACAGCTGAACTCAAAGGAAATGCACACTTGAATAGTAGCTCTCACTGGCTCATTATGTAATTTAAATCAGAATTTTTTCCCATGTGCATTTTGTACTCACAATTACATTGTATACTGAGCGTCTATATTTCATACTTAATTTCTATTATTCACAGCTACTGGTCACTTACTATTCACACTTCCACGGTCTAAGAAAGTTATGTGGAAATCAGGTTCGAGAATGAAAAAGAATTCAGCATCTCTGTCACATTTTTCATCGATGTTTTATACTCTCTTTTTTTTCTTATACACACAGGCTAATAGCGAAAACAAAACTGACACACATAATGTAGTTTCTTATAACACATTAATATATTTCCTGGTTAGAATGATTGCGCTCGGACTCTTTCCGATAAAATCCTAGATTGTCGAGCAAAGAAATTTTCTATTTGGCTAGTAGATACATTCTGTCGCTTGGCACAATAACTCGGTAACCATAACAACATTGACTTAACACAGTTCGCCTACTTATGATTTGCATCGCATCAGTTCACATCGTGGTACTTTCTCCGGTACTTGGCGTGAAAAGAAAGGAGAATATGACACAATTTTTATATTGATTACTTTCGATTACGATGAAACACACAAGTTCAAAAAATTTATTATGCACTTTAATCATGCGAGAGGAGATTTTCCGATCCATTTAACTGATCGATCAGCAGGGAATACACCAACTAGAGTGTAAAAAACATCCCACTTAACTACTTGACCTGGATATCGTATTCCGTACATGGTGTACAACACGCATATCTATCCTCACAGAGCATGACTACAGACACAGGAAACTATCGCCCGTTACATAAAATATTCCGTAACCCGACATACATACACATACAGGCAACATAATATTAAACAATATGTATATCAACTGTTTTCTTATTTTATTTCATATGTGCGTTCTTTCATTTCAAGGTTCAGTTTCAGTGATGCAGTTTCATTCAATCATCAATCTTACATACAAACACATGTAGTGTTAGAATATATATTCACCAAGTCAATACATAGTTACCAAGTCAATACTATTTCTACAAATCACATCCCATTTCCGTTTGACCTAAATTCGAAGTGACTTTAATTGACCATTCGTTAGTTTCACTACATAGTATAACGACATAGTTACACTTTAGTACTCGTTCTGTAAGGAAATGCATCCCATGTAGAGCACGAACCTTCTACTCATGGTCACATTAGCTGCCATATATATATATGTGTGTTCGAGTTCACTCCTACATACACATTTAGTTGTATCCTTCACTAACGGTTCTAGCTCGACTCTAGTTACATAGAAATAAGGACTAGTTAAAACATATGCACTCTAACGCAGCTATATCATACACATCTTCGAAACTTTCGCATTTCTACTTTGAACAAATTAGAGACTACCCAATACACAAGACTTAGACTCATCTACACAGCAGAGAACTTAACTTGCATATGTTATGGAGTGCTGTTCTTCTTGTTTTTCGATGCTATTAACTGTAATTTAAGATTTACCATAGGCAGACATGCGGCTTAAAAGTCTGATAAACTTAACACAGTATCGTTAACGGTTAATTATACAGTAAATAAGATGTTATTGTTTTCTTTTTTTTTTTTTGCTAAAAGTGTCTACGGACGAAATCGTCACGGGTCAAGTGATTGAACTCACGGTAGAAAAAGTTCTGGAGCTTATTGAGTCCGCTTATCCGAATCCGGTCATGGTGGTCGATATGGCGAAGTAAGTGTTAATGTTACATAATATTTAGATCAAATAGGGCATATCAAATTGTTGTACAGCAATAAGTTTGACGTAACATTCATACTTTTAGGGAACATGGATGGGAGGTGTCAGCTGTGGAAGCCAAATTGAAAGAACTCCAAGAGAAGGGCCTCGTTAAAGCAATGGATCATGGGGCATTTACTCGTGTTGTCCATCAAGATACTGATGTTCAGGTAATCATTTAATTGTAATGAATTGCTCCATGAGCCTTTTATCCGTTAATTTGCACGTATGTGTATGTATGTGTGTAACATCGTAAAATCTATTTTTAGGTAGTGAAGCAAATGCCGACGATGGCGAGCGCGAAGCAACCCACCATAGCTATTATTACAGCTCAGTACTGCGAGAAACTCGCTGTGGATTCGATGATCGAAAACAAAGAAACCTTCGTTCGCTACACCACCGTTGGTAAGATTCATCGTCTATATTTGATTCGAGAATAATAATCCCAGGATTGTAACACTTGTGATACACTGAAACAATGCTATGAAACATGAACTAATTTTTAATCTCATTATAGACAAATAGTAGTAATTGAGCTCTTACAGAATATTATGAAAATAACTGACTCCCCTCTGCTTTTTCTTCTAAATATGCGCTTCTAAAGAGAGTTTTTGCGTATGACCTTTTTTTACATTTCAATCGAATTATTTCCGTTGAATCTATATTACTATTCTTTTCTCTCTTTTGCTCCCCCATACGCAAATAAACCCGCCAATATACGCATTATCCGTCAACTGACGGTGAATGCTCAAACAATATTGCGAATCTACATTTCACCATGCATGAAACTTTAGGTACTGCAAGCTCACCAGACACGACAGATGGAGTTCCACGAGTGATATGCCGTTTCGGTAAAGTAGTTTGTAACATAGCTCTCTATCGTCTTAATGTCACTTTAATGTCTCATTTCATAGCTTGCCAATTGCTTGCGGCCGAAGAACAATGCAGGGCCATGCGGTGCTGTAAACGTGCACTTCGGAAATTCGTCGTTATCAACGTTTCTTTCATGTCATAAAACATCTCTCTTGTGTTTCGTCCCCGAGTATCTCTCATAATATACCTCTTCGTATCGCGAGACACGTTTTATATTAACAGAATGATTTTGTACGGCTTTGTGTTTGTCTTACGTGCCTTGTTTTTATCGAGCTTTATTGTAATTTGTATTATACTCGATTTATGTTGTTATGTATATTTTGTTGTCTCGTCAATATTCATTTGTTACGTTATTCACGTTTATCATGCGCGCGCGTTATCGAATCGATATTCTTATTTTTCAATTTTTATATTTCCACACATTAACTAATGGACAAGGAAGATATTTTTATCCTTCTTTTCCAACCACACTAGATGACAAATTTTTAATAGATTTCTAACACTGCTCTCTTCCGATATTACGTCTAATACCACCAAGTATTAGATCTGGAAGATGCATTTGCAATGGAATGATTTAAATCTATTTTATATCGTCACGTATACATATACACAGGTTTCGACTTAATATATTGATTGCCGCACAGTGCACATGTATCATACACACATGTCAAGGGAGGATAGAAGGATACGTGAATTTTAAGATATGCCAAGATACCGAGACCGAACAAATACTCTTTGTTATAGGGGAATCGAATGTATATACTTTGGGCAATATTGGTGCTCACAGGATTGTGTGTACTAAATTGCCAACTGTGGGACATACTAGGGAAGCAATGACTGCTGCTGGCAATACCACTACTAGGCTGTTAGGTATGCATCGTGTTTTACCGTTAAAATTTTTACTTCTACTTCTCTTCCTTAATTTCTACCAAACACTGCTATTTATTTACTTTTGCATGTATGTGCGCAGGTACTTTCCAAAAAGTGGATTATGTCTTCCTTGTCGGAGTCGGCGGAGGTGTACCTCATTATACTGATTATAACAAACATGTGCGACTGGGTGACGTGGTGATATCTCATCCAACGCCGCTTAATAAAAAATACGCGTACGTTTACTGCGAGAGCGCCAAGATGAACGAAAACGGGAACTACCACTTCGAGACCAAGGAATATTGCCCGCCGAATCTCGGTCTTCAGGAGATCGCAGCGTCTCTTAAGAAACAGGTGAGCCGATCGAATCGTATTCATGAACATCGTGCGCTGTACTGTCTTGTATCTAAAATATATTTTCCGTAGACTGAGAACGAGACGATTCCACCGTGGCAGACGTACATGAAGGAAGGCCTGGGGAACCTGGTGAATCAATCGGAGCACGACTTCAACGCGCCGCCGCCAGAATCTGACAAGTTGTATATGGCTATCGGTGAGAGGGACGTAATCGAAGTAGCTCATCCAACCGCGCCTCAAGATTCTGTAAATAAAAGGTAATCAGTCAACATTTGTTCGTTCTCTGTCGCAACTACAACATTCCTATTTCTGGATTCTCCTCGAATCGGCTCAGCTCAATATCATCGTGCAAACATGTTCATTAACATGTTGTTTGCAGAATGGACGGATGTTCTCGAATCCACTTGGCGCCAGTGGCATCTGGCCGACAAATCGCCCGAGACGATCAACTCAGGCAGAAATTCGCCAGTCGCTTTGGAGCGCTCGCGTTCGACGCCGAAATGGACGCCGTAGTAGAGAGTATCCTAGGTAATTGTCGCGAGAGTTTCGCCGTGATCCGCGGCATTTCCGACTATAAGGACGGCGTCCGGATCAAGGAATGGCAACCTTACGCGGCATTGGCGGCTGCTAGCGTAATGAAGTCTATAATTTGCGCCATGGATCCACCGACCAATGACTAATGTCGTTCTTCCATCTTATCTTCCTAATTTCGTGTAGCGTATAATGTGCATTTCTTTGTAGGAACAAGAGTAGTATTTAAAATCAAAACAGCTCTCAAGCACACACATACATACTGCACACATAGTACACAAGGATAGTTAATAAGTTGTTAGTTAATTTCAACAGGTTCCTTACGAAGATAAACCGAAGAATCACGAAGATCGCGCAGTGTACTTTAATCTTACAGAACAATTCACGCATCGCTCAAATTTCTTACAGGTTCTCTTAGAACAATGCCATTCTTACAAACATTGATTTGGCGCTACTCCTGAGAAGGTGTGTCCTATCTCAGTCGTAATGATATGAATTAATATGAACCATTAATATTGAAATCAGGATCGCTCAATGTTGAATGGTCCATTAATAGCTGTATTAGAAGAAAAAAATATGATTCTTTGTCTCGATACATTTTATCTGTAGATGTAATAAGGAAATGGTGCCATTATTGTTTCTCACGATTGTCGTGCAGCAATTGACACGTTATGATCCGCGAGTAAAATGTCGTATTTTCCGCGGAAATTTCTGTACATTCCTGTTGGATGTACGCTGGGGACGGACGTTCGAAAGACCAAATCGTTAGGAGCAAGTTAGGACGAAAGCTAATGAGCATTGGAATGTGTGACGCTTCGAGATGAATCATCCGCAAGGTAGACGACGAATTTGGCGGTAACTTTTTGTTTAACTTAGTCTGATAATTGCGCCAGGGAAAGTCGCAGGGCAGAGTAGTTAGGCAAGTCTATTAAGTAGGCGAACTGATCTAGTTGTAGATGCAATAGACACAAAATGGCAACTGAAAGTATACTTGACAGTATTTAACAAATCGGAATCAAATTATAGTTACGATATTGCTGGAGTAATTATTACATGTTTGTCAGAGTATATATATTGATGTTTTTTCAACAGATATATATGCATTCTATATTCGCGCAGTATACACCTGAATGGAGGATTATCAAAACAGATTCGCATTTCTCTGAAAAAATCCTAGAACATATAAGGAGATATATACGAGATAGATTTCTATTGAAATGTGCCAACGTGTTCATACTTGTTAAATTTCACTGCCCTATTTAAATCTGGATAACATCCGCGTCAAAAATTTTCGATACGAATTTTCTGAACTTAAAAATCAAAAATTTTATCGGAGATTTTCAATTTTTTTTTTTGTAACGGGAGGATTCTACATTAAAAATTACAGGGTAGTGTGCAGAAGCTTATTAATATCTGAATATAAAATTTTAATGTGTGGACTTAAGAAGATAGATGGAATATATGTATAAGGGTGTTGTTAATGGTGAAAAGAATTTTGAAATTTCAGCAATAGTTAAAAGTAACACAAAAGCTATAAAAGTACGATTGATTCTAGCCATAAACACACGAGATAATAAAAATATAGTATTTATATATATATTTGTTTCTTTTCTCTGCGTACAATATATTATTTTCTTCTATTAAAAGTAATTTAACGCTTTATTTATGTGCCGCTTACCCAAATTTAAATAAAAAAAAAAGTCTAATCAACGTGCGCAGCACTCATGTTAGAAAAGTATCTCGCTTACATAGTAAAAACATTGACGAGCATTGAACAATAGGTGGACCTAAAATTGACACAAACGATAAAAGTCACTTGTTGCGTAGAAGCACACATTTGAAATTCTATCGAATATAGGAAATGACTATGGTATATACACACGTATAGATACACATGAAAATATAAGAATTTATATATATATATAAATATATACACAGATAAAAAGTGTTTAATATATAGAATATATCAATTTCGTGGGTGAAGCGAATTATATATTATATCATAGGATACTTTAAATTAACTTACCTGGCGACAGATTCCTATTTTAGGCCTAATATTACTTATAAGTTACGATTGATGGAATTTGTTACATTAACCGAGGCTTTATAGAAGCCACGAGCTTCCAGTCGTGCATTTGTATTTGTATTTGCGTTTTTATCACGCGCTTTCGATACTAGTCGCAATACTGTGTTTTCTACTTGTATTTATACAATTATTCTCTACTTAGTACATTACAATAGATCGTAAGTATGCCATAGTAATTAATGTAATTAATATGTACTGTTGTCTGCATACACGTCCACTTAGTTTATATCTCGTAGGATATTATTTCTCGCGGCGAAAACATCTATTTGTTAGATATAAGTTATTATTTCATGATTTTTCGCGAATTACATTTATATCATTGTAACTTTGAAGCTTTGACTCTTCGATGCAGTTTTTAATAGCAAAAACTTCAGAAGATGTAATACAAAGCTTCAAAACTCTTATCATTGTGCCGACGAATATATATTTCATCAATCTTCATCTAGATTTGACAAGAACAAAAAACATGTGCGTTTTATTTTACTATATGTATATTTTGCTATATTAGGTTGCTTGTTATTCGTCAGATTTATTAAAAAAAAAAACATCAGAACCATTATGGCTTTCGGGTGAAAATGCATCTGTCCGTGCGTAAATTATTAGTCTTCCTGTTGACATGCAAGGATTTCTTAGCAAAGTCTTCGTAGATCTTGAAATGAGATCTTGATATTCGAGCTTAGATATCTATATGGTGGAGACTGAAAAGTGCCCGCGTATCAAAGCTGTCTCTCTTGCACATTAACAAATGAGAAGAACACTGTGCACTTTTTACTTATGGGATGATGGCAATGGACTGATAATACGTAAATTGTAGCAAGACCTGTGAATGACTGACGTTTCATGGTAGCTACACGATGTGTTTGCCCAGGTGATAGACTCAAACGTGGTGTTAATCTGCTTCACAGCAGAAAAGAAGCTGTGATAATTCTGATGTTGGCCATAGGCGAGGAAATAATCGAATCGTCGGTCGCGACGTCGATTTGTATTGCTTGAGCACCGCAATTTGCACACGCGAAAAAGAAATGAGGTAACAATATATCGTCTCTGTATCTCTGCAGAAAACAAAAGTTGAGTAGTAACATGCAGTTTCAGTTTGATAAAATGTGTGTATTATGCGATCGAGAAAATACATCTAAGTCACAATACGTCTCGGCGTGTCCTATGAATATGGTAGCGTTTATTTACACCACATTATCAATATCTCGCTCCTTCATTTCCTCGTGACGAAGTGTGTTCCAAAAATAAATTATGTGAATGTATTATTGTGCATATATTATTATCAAATATATACCACCAATCTCGTTGACATCCTGTTTGTTGTGTAATATACATACATTCACGCACGGAGAAGGAGTCATCCTCTTTGTCGTTATAAACTATTATCTGCCGCGTCTTGTCGCGATATGTCGGAATGATGACCTCGCAAGGCACACACAGTAAGTTACTTCACCTCTCTTCGATGAACTTCGACTTCTCGATGTCGCCCGTGTTCTCAATGCCGTTCTCGCATTTCAGAGTCTCCGGAGTCAGCTTCTGCATTTCCCGTTCCTTCGAATTCAATTTGCCGTATTGATTCCACGGTTGCTCCTTCGAGGTGCCGAATATCATGTAGATGATGCAGCCCGCCAATGAGTTCGCAGCTGCGATCAGAAAGGCCACACGCCACTGCCCCACAGTTTGCTGCACAGAGATATCCATTGCAGTATCTTTGTAATCGCGATAATCACGTGAAGAATAACGAACACGTCTTCGCTCGCGACCTGATGAAAGTCGACACTTACGTTATTGTTCGTCAATATGCCGACGATCGCCGGCGAGATGAAACCGCTCCATGTGACGATCATGCCGCAGGTGCCGAGGAGGACGCTGGCGTAATTCGGGCTGAGGTCAACGAAGCTCGCCAGGCTGGAGGCGGAAACGGCGCCGTTCACCGCGGTGCCGGTCATCATGAAGACTACCGCGAGCAATGGCTGACATCCGCTGTACCCGAGGGCTATAATGAAGATGCCTTGAACACCCGTGCACACGAAGGTCGCCAGTTTCCTCACGTTCGTCAAGCTCATTCTGTTCGTGCGCAGCAGCCAGTCGCTCATTATCGAGTAGAAGTACGAGAAGATCATCCGGAGCACGTGCGGCGCACCCGCCAGGACCCCGGCCTGGACGAACAGTTGGAATTACAATTTCGACCAGTGTGGAACCAAAAAGATAACGAATCGGTCGTTATAAGAAAAACGGTAAGCTCACGGCGTTGATGTCCCAGCCGTGGACGAAGTTGAAGTAACTCGGGGCCTGCGCCATGAGAGTGAAGAAGCCCCAGGCACCGCTCCAATGAGCGGCGATGGTAACCCAGACCGGTCCTGACCGAAGTATCTCTTTCCAGGGTATCTCTTTTGTCTCTTCCTCCTCAACGGACCCGGCGATGTTGTCCACGATGTACTTCTTCTCTTCGTCGGAGATCCGCGGGTGCTGCTGCGGCGAATCGTACACGAGGAAATGCCAGAAGCAGTACCTGCGAATCGCACGACTTGGTTTATTTGGTTACTCGGTCGGTCGTTCGAGGGATGGCGGAGCAACGTTCATCGTGAGCTTGGGATAACCGTGAGGTACTCACCAAATCACCCCCAACAAGGACGTCACGTGGAAGGATGCGCCCCAGCCGAGGGTGCTGCTGACAGCCGCGCACAAGGGGTAAGTAATCGCCACTCCCACGGAACTTCCTGAAAGTTTTAACGCGGAAGAAAAGATTAATTTTGCAGTAGTTAAATTAATTGCAATACATGGACACTTAAAACTTTAGCAACGGAAGCAACTTTAATTGCCGCAGCGGAAAGAGTTTGTTGTAGCGATTAAAATTGCTTACGTTGCTAAAGTTTTAGATGTCCGTATGTTACAACTAATTTAGTTACTGAAGCTAATCTTTTTTTTTTCGTGAACCAGCGAAGTTTAAAAATTTTGCCCGCTTCCTGCTTCTACGCGATCTTACGCGCCGAAAAATTCATCCACGGCACCGTCTTACCGAGATAAGCGCTGACGAATTTGCTTCTTTCATTCGGCGGAATCCATTTGGCCGTCATGTCGTGCATGGAAGGCCATGCGACACCCTGAAACGAGAGTCAAGACTTTGGTAATACTTCCGGCACCTGAGAATATTCCGCGACTCACCGCTATCAGTCCCTGTAGCACTCGAAGGGCTAACAAGCTGTACAAATGCGTCGCGTAGGGAATGAAAAATCCTAAGAGAGCCGTCAGAAAGTTCCCCAAGCCAAATACCAGTTTCGTGCCGTACCGTCTGGCCAGAAGACCACCGGGCACCTGAGACAGCCAATGCAGCCAGTAATAGGAGCCCAACGCCAATCCCTGTTGATACTCGTTCCAAGCGAATCGGTCTTCGTACTATGGGAAATCGCGGAATGACGTGAGAATTTCGCACGTAGAAAAGTAGGTTTTCTGCGAAGAGATCATCCGCGTGAATACCGTGACATTTTCGGAGGAGTAGGACGGCGTCGTGATCGGGAAGAAAACGTTGCTATCTGTCTCGTTCGTCCAGGATGCCGTGCTATTCTCCACGCTGCACTGGGCGACCGCGGCGGCTTTAGGATACGGTATCACCATCGCCACTATGATGAGGTTCAGATTTATCCTCAGCACGTAATTAATGGCGAAGCCACAGAAGACCATGTACCAGAGCACATCCCGGCAAGTGAACAGCTCTTTCTCTGCGACACAAAGTGAAAAAGCGTACGAATGGTTGAAAAAAAGAGATATTTTGCATCTACAGCCACCGTAAACAGCGAATTGCATCGAGATTGAGTCATCGAATCGACGTGTAAAGCTTGGACCATTGATTTTAGAATACCCTGTATGTGACGTATGTGGCTTACACGTACTATAACGTGCGCGTAATATATGCTCCCTGTGTATAATAGCCTAATGGCACTATTTGACAGTGATGATATTCGATCAAGGGCAGCGAGACATCCGGAGACGAAATTAAAAATGTCTCCGTCCGGACGATCACAAACCTTTAGAAGATTTGTATCTTTCGAATTTCTAACTAATCGAGTTACGCAGAATGAAACATTGTACTTACTCTTATCCATTCTGATCGTTATTTGAGAATTAACGGGTGTCTAATTAACAGTCACGTGTGTTGATTAATACATCACTTTGAAGGAATCTCTTCTTATACAACAGTGGCTTTTTTTTTTCTCCTAAGCCCGTTGTATGACACTTTACGTGATATAGATATTATATATATATATATATATATATATATATATATCTTTCTCTCACGAGTTATCACCTTGTCTCATGAATTATGGAGTGAAGAGTTACATTTTAACAATACAAGTTCATCTCTCGCTCCAGATCTAGGTAGTCTTCCGCCTCTTGTATTTGCGAATCTGTGTTAAGCGGTTACTGTCACGGCAAACACTGCATGACTGTTCCTCAAGTAGAGTCGTATGGACCGCAGAAATGTGTACGCGATCCTCCACCCCTGCAGGAGTCGCGATAACGACGACGATTAAGCGGCACGGTCCCGCAAAAACCTTCAAATCCCCTCATTGTCGTCGCTCGGCGCGTGGAAATCGCCAACGTAGCTGCAGTTTTTACGAAAAAATCAAAAAGATTCGCGAAGAGGACCGGCTTATACGCGGTTATCTACAAGCTCGAGCGCATAATACCAACAGCGCCAGGTACAAAGGGCATATTAATTATGCGCATGTTGTTGTTCCTGTTTTTGTATACACACAGCTTTATCTTTTACTACATTGTTACCCGTAAGATCGTGCTACATGTCTTTCGATAAGATATTATCTTATTGCATTTCTGACGATAACGACAAATAAATTAATTCTTTCCCCGTATTGCTTACAAATCGCGCGCACGAGATAGTGCATCGTTCCCCATTGCGCTGTAAATAGATGATTGTTGAAAATTTATGCCGACTACCGCGATCAATATTTACCTAGGCATAAATCACCAACGGTGCAGTGAAGGCGTAATAAGCGCGCGATCGAATGTATGTTTCGTAGTAATTGTTGAGAACAGCCAATCTATTGCGTACACGGAAGCCACTGCCGATCGTAATTAAATTCGCTTCTGTTGCCGCCAAAACGAGATCGACAGCGACAGGCTGTGACGTTGAACAAGGCTGCTTTTCAGTAAGAGACACAAGTCCACACAAACCTAATTATATCATTATTTGTTCTTATTTCGCATTTGGTAAAGAAAAGGATGATAGATGAGATAACTAGATCAGAATACAATTCAAATCATGTCGGTCGTTAAGATAGTCAAATCTGCAGAAGCAGATTTTGCGCAGTATCTGCTGTAAATTTTGTCGTCAGCTAACAAAAATACAACAGGATTTGCTAACAGAGTGTGATAACGGATTGACGGCAGAAACCGAGCAGGATCTGTCATTTCGTTATTATTTAAATGTAGTTTAAGTAGAATATACTGCAGATCCTGCTCGGTTTCTGCTGCCAATCTGCTGTCAAGTTGTATCAGCAGGCTCTGTTGACAGAAAACGGGCTTAATGCGAACACAGATAGCTATGGCTCTCTGCCGATATCCTGCCGAGATCGAATTTGCTACCTATCATCATACTGTTAATATTTTGCTTACTGGGTACCGATTGAGCATTTCTATCTCAAGACTTACAGGAGATGCGCTCTAGCTTTAATTTTTAACTTCTTTTTTCTTCTCACTCCATATCAAGTCTTTCTTTCTGTTCACCTCTTTTTCAGAATTACTCTTCACCATTCAAAAATCAAGATCCATGCAGTAAAATAAAGTTAAACGTTGAAACTCGTTCATTCATTCAATTGTATCGATGTGAATAATGGCTGCATTATACCTCCAACCGTCAAGCCGCTTTAGCCGGAATTCTAATCGTCTCCTCGATTTCTGATTACTTCACGAGACCGATAACGCATGTCACATACACGTTTAAAGAACACGCGTCGCATTTATCCGAGACAGATAACTGTTACAAATGAACCCCCAATCTGCCGGTCCGAAAATTGCGTCACCATGGACATCGTATATATATTGTCCCTGAATAGCTGATTAGATGTAAGTAATGAAAATCTATAGTTAAACATAAAATAACATAATGTAGAACTTCAAACTCATTTTTCTCGAAATTGTATTTTATTTTTTTTTTTAGATAATTTCGCTTTTTTTAGTTTCTCTTTTTCTTAACGTCTCCATCTTACTCCACATTCCCTCAAAATTAATATCGTTACGATTACGATGGATCTGCATTATCCACAATAATCTTCTCATGATGTTGAGCAATCAATGAACAATCAACCAGTTAATATGACGCAATATTAGTATTTCTTCCTCATTACTTGGAAATCCGGAATCATGAGAATGAGCGTCCGCAAAAAATTGAAGCGGAGTAACACGCACCGATTACTGCGATGGCGGCTTTTTAGCTGGAATCGCTTTAGGCGAAATCAAGAGGAATCGTTTTCTCTCTCGCATTCCCCGACCGTTCTTTTTTATCGTGACCGACCGGTAATCCCGAGCAATAAACAGGAACTAATTGCGGTGATCTCGCGCGCGGCCTGGAAAAATGCACGCTTCGCCGCGAATTTTCCCGCCGTGATGTACGATGGAACGTGTAATTCCCACGACGCCGTGCAATTAAAGTGCCTCTTTCGGCGCACGCCTCTCTTCCGCTTAATTGCGTGTTACTGAACGAGTTTGCGAGATTGCAACACCGCCAAAATACCTTCGCTCGACTCTGGGTTAATGCGCCTTTCAATTTGCGACCGCAAGATGAGTAATTACACATGTCTACAAATAATTGTTTCTCGCTGAATCAATCCGTGAACAATAACGAAAGTGTCGTTAACTCCAATAACGAGTTACAGAATTCCAGTGCTGGTCGTTGCATAGCTTTTCTATGATATAAAAAATCTGCGCAACGACGAAATAACGATAACGACACTGTTGACACGTTAATAATTAGCAAATCGCTCTACTGATTTGCATTTAACATTAACCCCATTCTATATAACTACTTTAAGGTCTGAGTTTTAAGGAATTAACCAATCATAGTTAAATATAAGAAGAATAGTTGATTGTGATTGATAAATTTTGGAAAGCTTAAGGCTTCAAGCGACTTTTGTAGAATGGGACTTAAGTCCGTGTCATACTACGGATTGAATTGAAATCTAATCAATCAGAATAAAGAAAATCAATCTCAAATTTTGTAAACTTTGCTCTGAGTTGTCAAACTTCAATCCAATCCCAATCTCTAATCTGTAGTGTGACACGGGCTTTACGCGTCATTGGATCCTTAGGCAAATTCTATAATTTAGTCATAAATTAAAAAAAATTGACATTAACGTGAAAAATATTCGTTCATTTATGAATAATTAAAAAATATATATTCGATTTTCGATTCATAAAATTTTATTCAGAGGAATTTTAGTCAGAAAAATATCAAATAATCGATAATATCGAATATTGATAATCATCTTTAGTCCGCGAGGCACCTCGCATACTGACTGTACGTCCGCCGGCGGTTTCATTAGAAGTAGGAGGTTATTCTGTAATTCTCGATATCACAAAGGAAGGAATTTTCCACGCTTACATTCCACTCAGCGTGGGGAAAACCGCCGGTAGTGATACGGTGTAAATATTTGCTTCCGTTCGAACAGTCTTAATCCAGTTTTTGACCGAGACACTTCGGGATTTCATCCTTCGGCAATTGTGAATCACCTGAACACGAACCGCGTCTTCTTCGTTTGCTCACACTTCCCGTTCTCCGATATACCGGAACGAGGACGACAATTTCGCCGGCGAAATATTCTAATCTTATCTTGTATAATTTTCATATTGTACAAAAAAAAACTACAAAAGAAGTACGCAGATAGTATTAGAAAGTTACACTTAATTGGCTGATGATAGTATTATCACGGAATTTTCTGTTACTCGAGAAATTTTTGGTCGCAGAAGCAAATTCACTCGGAGAGATAGGAACGCATATATGATACTTTGCAATGCGCGCGATATGCGCAATATCTTACAATATTTCGTAGTAAAGTAAAATAAATACGATATATTTTAATTCATCGCGTTTTTACGTATCCGTTTAGTTACTTTTCTCACTGAGATACGCGACGATCTCTCAGGTGAATTTTCAGTTATAGACAAAATCGTAATTTTCTCAGACTGTAAGACAAGTGCTGTCGGGGAACGATGCCGAATACTAAGACGAGGATCGCTATTGTGGGTGCTGGAGTGGCTGGTTTGGTGGTGGCCCGTCATATAACTTCCAAATTGGATACTTACAGCCTCACAGTGTTCGAGCAGAATGACCAAATCGGTGGCACATGGGTCTACACCGATGAGACGCACTTCAATAAACACGGGCTTCCCGTGCATAGCAGCATGTATAAGAATCTAAGGTAACGGCAAATATAAGTCAAATGGTGAGTATGTGATTAGCAAGTAGAGGTGTACGAATCGTTCGAATTCGAAGTCGATTCAAAGTCGAATCACTGTTGATTCGATTCGAATTCACTTTCGAATACAAAAGGTTTGAATTCAAATAATTCGATGATTTCAAATCATCGACGGTTCAATTTCGAGTCGGTCACACCTTTTGATTGCTTCATTCGCATCGGAAAGTGATAAACGAATAGGCCATTGAAATTAAAAATTAGTTCCTCAAAATTCTTTTTTACTGTTAACAAAATTATGCATGTAAGAGTGTTCGTTTGCTAAATAATTTAGTTCTGATCATAAAATACCTTGTAAGACACTTGTAGACCTTATAAACATGTAGTTTGAAAATTATACTAATACATAACTTGTACAAAAAATTGAAAATAATTCCATAATTCGTCGAATATGCGGTGTATATATTCACCCATTTATAAATTATGATTACATATATATGTACGAATATATATTTATCAGTTTACAAACTCTGCACACTTTTTATCTAATATTATTCATTATAAATTATCTAACATTATATATCTATTATAAATAATAATATTCCTAATCCATTATAAATTATCTAACATTATATATCTATTATAAATTTTCTAGTACTTAGCAAAATATTTTCCTCGTAGTTAGTGGGAGATTTTCTCAAAATATATTTTTTTAAGTATATTTTTAGTAAAGAAAGGTATATTTTTTTAAAGAAAGGTTTCGTTAAAAATATTCTGTCATATTTAGATTAACATATAATGTAAATCTCGGAAAATCTGATTCGAATTCGATTCGTATTCGAACTAAAGAGATTCGATTCAACTGCAAACAGTTTGCAGCTCCGTCAAATGCCTCGTTCAATGACTGAGCTGTATCACTAGATTAGGCCGGGGTAGCCGCTCTTCGTTGATTATTCTTAAAATTCTATGACTAATTCAATATAATTGTAATAATTGTTATTACAATAAATATACAAAATTAATGAAAATTCAATAAATATACAATATTAATGAAAAAAACTACGAAATCATATCGAACGGAAGGATTAGTCATCGCGGAGAAAAAGAGAGAAAAAAAGAAAGATAAATAATAAGACGTGTAAATGTCTGAAGATAAACTGATCCGGAAGACCAGTTTATCTTCAGACATTTACACGTCTTATTATTTATCTTTCTTTTTTTTCTCTCTTTTTCTCCGCGATGACTAATCCTTCCGTTCGATATGATTTCTAAGCAATGCATGATTTCCTTATCGTTCAATAGAATACAAGTTGTTCCGATGCTTGTAGAACGAATTTCCCGAAAGAAGTGATGCAAATACCCGAATTCCCCTTCAAGGATGACGACAGCATGTCTTACATCCATCATAGCGCAATAAAGCAATATATTTTGGACTATGCCGGTCACTTCAATCTCTATCCCTACATTAAGGTGAGTTCCTGTTTCACATAGATCGTTTCTCGGCGAAGAGTATATCGTTCGTTGTTTTCAGCTCAACACCTTGGTGAAGCACGTGGAACCGGAAGTCTTGACAAACGGCCAGACGTTGTGGGCATTGACACATGTGGATCTGAATACGAAAGCGGAGACCACGAAGACTTACGACGCCGTAATGGTGTGCAGCGGTCACTACACCGTCGGTCATATTCCACATATCCCGGGCATCGAGAGTTTCCACGGTGATCATATTCACAGCCACCAGTATAGAATACCGGAAGTCTACGCCGGCAAGAAAGTCTGCATACTCGGTGCCTCCTGGTCCGGCATTGATATCGCCCTCGAAGTAGCGCAATACGCCGATAAGGTGCGTCTATATGCTATGAAAACGGAGTATCGAAGAATTTAGAAATATCCAGTTAACTTAATTATCCTCTCTCCCGCTCTGATCATTTAGGTGTACTTAAGTCATAACTCCGAACCGATCGACTTGAGTATGTTCGTTAACATCGAGCAGAGAGTCGGCGTCGCATCCATTCAAGGAGACCTCTTCACCTTTCTCGATGACTCTTCGGCAGAAATGGACAGCTTCATATATTGCACGGGTAATAGTCTCGGCAAATATGGCTTCCATTATTCATGATAACCAGTATTTCCGCAGGTTACAAATTCACGTATCCCTTTATATCGGCTAAAGTCGAGATACGTACGGACGACAACCACGTCGAGCCCATCTACAAGCACCTGGTGCATATGGACCATACGAATCTGTTCTTCGTGGATCTATTAGACTTCGTGATACCGTTCCCCTTGTTCCATATACAGGCACAATATATTTTGGGCATCCTCGAGGGCCGCATTCAGTTACCATCGCCGCAACAGATGCACGAGGAGTACGAGAGCGAAAAGAAATCTTTGCTGGACCAGGGTATCCCGGTAATTAATTGCAAATTATAATCGCAGAAAGAGGAGCAATCGCGCTTTTAAATAACAGAAGAGAATTTAAATTAAAAAATCTGATTTCTCCCGCAACAAAGTTAACACGATACGTAATCTCGTTAGGCGAAACTTAATTAGTTTTAAATTGAAGAATAACCGAATAGATCAATTGATTAAGTAGCTAAAATGAAATTTAAATTGAGTTATTAAAGTCATTTCTTTGCTCTCTCTTTCTCTCTATTAGATAAGACAGATCAACAAGCTGAAAGACAGGCAGTGGGCTTACTACGACGAGATCGCTGCCGCCGTGAACGTGCCGAGTTTTCCGCCAGTAATGAGAAAGATTACTAATCACGTCAACGAGATGCGCGAAACAAACATCACTGAATACAAGAATTACAAGTACCGCATCATCGACAGCGAGAACTTCAGCGTATCTTACAAGTCTTGTTAAGGTCTAAACACGGAAGAGAAAAAATAACAAAGAATGCAATCGATGTTGCCACAAGATAAAATCAGCGTTCGAGCTTACAAAAACGGGCCTGATGCTTTATGAGACTGAAGTAAGTTTTACGTTACGGCGATTAATTATACGAGGATCAGACAAAAGCAGAGAACGCGTTTATCGGACTGGCGTATTAATGAGAGTATTTACCACTAATTATGACGCGCGATAAGGGTTGGCGTTTCCATGGAAGATTGGCCCGCAATTATAGTTTTTGTACATTAAATGATATAAAGAAGATAAGATAACAAATGCAGCGACACAGGGTCATTGCGTCATCCTCAAGAACACATAACAAAAGCGATACATATGTATGTATGTAACATTTTTCTACTCTTGCGATTACACCAGTCGTCGCAGGCTGTCACGTGTAATCAAACATTATCACATGCGTGTATTACGTACGATAGAATCGAATACGCGCATACAACTTCCGCTAAAACTGTTTCGGAATGAGGTGGAACGGAGGGAAAGAGCGGTGCGGCGAGTATAGCGAGAAACTGAAAAATTACGATAGGGCAATTGTAAAGATATATTATGGAAGTACATTTCTCCCTATTACGGGCTGATACGTTCTACACAATCTTCTTTTTTTTCTTTCTGTGTGTCAATCCTTTCCCCGACGTAGGATATAAAAATGAAAAAGTCACCGCTTCTCTTTGCGATCCAACAGGACAGGGTGTCGATCAGCGACGCGCCGGTCGTATACGTGGAGTTAATTAAATTACTTATAATATATGACTGGAAATACATTGTCGACGGGGACACACACGATTTCGGCATTGCGGCAGAACGCGCGCAGCAGCGCTTACAATTCATCGTGCGTCTGCAAGTGAATCATCACGAAATCATAGAGATCGTCAAGATTGCGCGAGCCATTGTACTCGAAGATTTTGCGCCCATCTCGATATAAGTACAACGACGGGAAACCGTCCACCTCCTGTTCATTGCACAGTTCTTTGCTCGTATCGAGCGTGCAGTCGACCTTCACGATGTTCACGTTCTGATTGCCGAAGAACTTCTTGCCCAGTTGTTCCCAGGTGGGCGCGAGACGCTTGCAGTGGCCGCACCAGGGAGCGAAGAACTTGACGAACGAGAGGCCTTTCTCGACGCCATGCTTAAAACTATCGGCGGTCAGGCTCACTATGGTATGCGGCGTGTCGTCCGTGCTCTCGCTCTTCTGATTCGATTTGTCGGCGCTCTTGGCTAACATCGACGACACGTAAGCTTTCAGCTCCTCGTGGCTGCGCTGACCAGCGTATTTTTCTACCTGCGAATTTATCACGTTCGTTCACTTTTACGTGGAAACAACATTCTGTGCGAAATATTCGACAAGGAAAAACGCTTTGCTTACCTTCTTCCCGTCCTCGATCCACAACAACGTGGGGTATCCCATGATATCGAATTGGCCGCAAGCGCTGCGGTACTGAGTGCAATCTATCTTGGAAATACTAACTGCATCGTCGTGGCGAAGGCTATTAGCTAACTCATCCCAAGTTGGCGCCAATTTCTGACAGTGTCCGCACCAAGGAGCATAGAACTTGACAAAGTGATGTCCGGAGGAGATATGTTTCTCGAATGTATCCTCTGTTAATTCCAACAGCCCATTTACTGCTTCAGGAGGGGATGGTGCGACGTCTTCAGGCTGGAAATGTTCTTCGTTGACATTAATTATTCCATATAGGATAATATCTGAGAAACAAGTTGTACGTACCATAGAAGTGCTACTACTACTACCTAGTTGATCATTAATGAAGGAAGTCAGAGAAGGTAAATCTCGAGTCCCTCTGAACTTGATGCCTTTGGTTTCACCAGCTTTGAAAAACTTGAGCCTATGTTAATAATTCTGCATTTATATATATACATATATATCCAGGAAATAATAATTTTCAAATAAAATTACTACATTTAAAATATACAATATACAACAAAGTAATTAGATATTAAAACAGCAAAGACACAGTATATGAGAGAAGCTAAAGTTCATGATTTAAGTAGATATCATTGATGGAAATATTAGTATGCGTTATGATAAAATATATAAATATATAATAAATATACAAAGAATATAGATAAATGATAACATAAATATGAGATAATGTAAACATATAATAAGATATATAAGTAGGAAATAAATTTATTTACGTCGGATAGCCAGTGACGTCATGCTCACTGCATAAAATGCTCTCGATTGTACAGTCGACTTTGGCAATTCTTATATTATTGCTTTCCTCGTTTGACATTTCTGCTAACTGTTCCCATGTAGGTCCAAGTCTTTGACAATGTCCACACCTAGAAAAGGAAAGTATCATTTATAATAATTAATATTTTTACATATGTGCCAAAATTATATTTTTTTCTTTTGCTACTTAAATATATATATATATATATATGTACAATATAAAATTATATAGATTTGAATTCTTACTTACCACGGTGCATAAAACATAACGAAATGGTTCTTTTTTTTAATTTCCGCGGAAAAATTGTCATTGGTGTACTGAGGAGTGTGTACATCCTTGTTGTGGCCATTAATGACCTGGCTCAACATAAACAGAAAAAGTAAAATCCATTGTTTCGACATGATAAAATCCGCAGGATTAATCGCCATTGCGAATGTCGAATTTATTGCACTCTAAATTACTTTGCAACGAAATAACGTTGCAAAAAGCCGTAGGAGACAGGTCTTTTTCACTATCGAATTTGCGAAACCTATAAACCTAATATTGCACTAATATTGTACCGGATGAGGTACTTTTAGAAAGCAGCTTCTGCTACATAATATTCTGTCACAGATAAATAGTATCGTCTATCTTAAAAATTAAAAGAACTCCCCCGGACTCTCGTTGGCCTGTTGCTCCCAGGCTCACACTTCGAACTTATCGAACCGCGGATTCCGCCCACCATAATATAAGCCAATGGAAACAACCATGAAATTGAAATCGTCCTACGTAGAGCGGACGATGATCGACCGACAAATCGGTGTTCGATTCTTTTTCAGATCAGAAAAATCGATTATCCTCCCGGGATTTTTGAATTACTTACCCTTGTGTCGAAATATTTTTAGTGATAAATCTTGCTAATGAGAATAAAAGTTCATCTGATGTATCCTTGAGTCGTACTACTATACTCTTTTTAGTTGCTGTTTGATTGAAAGGTTTGAAAATAAAAAGATGTTCAATCAGTTATTGAAACGTACTATTTGAAAATATGAAGTTCTAACTTGTTGATAAATTGCAAAATTAGAAAATAAAATTATGTCTACCCTATCGTTGAATTGTACTACGTGCTCGATTTCTCACTAAAACAGTGGCGGCTCATAGCGGAAGTTTTGGAATTAAAAGAAGTAACGAATCTACTAATAAGAAACAACTATACATAGTGATTGTATATTTACGACAAATAATCGGATTTTTAAAGTGGGATCTACGATGAGAATTTAAGACGTAAGATTTAATAAACTGACCAATCATTTGTTTTTCTTCTATAATTCGATTATGACTGGTCAATTTCTTAAGGCTTAAGAGCTTAAATTTTCATTGTATATCCCGCTTAAGTGTCGGTCCACAATAAATATTTTAATCTTTAAGAAAGTGACCAATCACAGTTGAATGTAAAGAGAATAATTAACTGTGATTAATCAATTTCTTAATGCTTAAGGCTTAAGATATCTATTGTGGACCGACACTAAGACCGTTTTCAATTCATCTACAGATGCTTTGTGCCAATGAAATGTATCGTACAGCATCTAAAAATGAACTTAAGACGGTTTTGTATATAAGACGTGACTATGAATACCGGCTTAAGTAATGTGAAAATTTTTTCCCTCGCTTCGGAAAAAAAATTATGTTCAGGAACTATAGAACATTTACATAAATGTAAAATAAATGTTTTCTTCAAACGAAAGTTCTGTTGGAAATGAACAACTGCGAGTCAAAATTGTAACAGTAGCTCGTATATTTTGTTTGATACGCACGAATACACTTGATTGTGCATTTTGAACATCCAAAATGGATTTTCAAGATGATGTTAAGAAAGTGACATCGCTCCCTTTAGCAGATCAGGCTAAATTTTATCAGCTGACAGGTTTGTGTCAAGCTGACAAGGATCGCAAAATGAATGAAAGAAAAGTGAAAAATCCACGAAATTTACTAGTACGTATCTAATGTATATATAACATATATATGTATATATATATATATATATATATAGGG